CATCGAAAGTGGGCCCTGATTGGCCAGAGTAAGGCATTGCCTCCGACTGCTTGTCCAATCCTAGATCTTGAATATTCTTCCTATTCGATTTCGACCATCAGAGAGAGATGCGAAGGAGTCCATGTCATCGCCAAAGAGTGATTGTCAGTCACATGCTTTGGAATTTAAATTCCTGACCACGGGATCTTTCGATGCTGAACATTTCCACTTTCTAAGCCGACGACCCTGATACCTTTCGGTAAGTGTGACTCCTGGGGTGAATACGCAAAGAATAGAGATGCCGAGACCGTATAATGCTTCTGGTTGCCTCGTGGTCGATCCGATCGAGATGGTCTGACGTCGACCGCGCACTTCTCGTTGCAGATTCCACCATTGCCTCTTGGACGGCCTGAACTGGTGCAACATCATCTGCTCGAGATTCATCGAACCGCCGAGTCGTCTGGAACCGAAGCGACCGTTCGGAGTCGCGGAATTCCTGAGGGCGCTGTACGAGCTGCCGGCCGCGATCTGGCGGGAGACGTCGGAGCCGGACGCGGTGCCCATGACGCTGACCGGACGTCGCTTTTTCCACTTATGTAAATTTTCGTTGTCTGGACTCCGAAGAACCGCTCGGCGACACGGCACCTCCGTCAACGCCCTCTGCCTGTCGGCGTTCGCGGCAGCCGCGAAGCGATACCTCCACTCCACCCTGTCCCTCCACCCGCGACTCTCGTCCATGATCCACCAAGCCTACCGAAGCGGACGCGACACCCCCTCGATCGAGAATCGCTTCTGCTTCACCCGGCTCAAGTTCCCAGACGCGGACACACCCGCCGCTCGCCTGCGATCCGTCGACGCCGCCTTCCGGGAGAGCGTCGCCGGCCGCGACGTGGACGCCATCTATCTTCTCGTGAAGTGCCTCGCCAACGTCCTTCCCGGAATCCTCACGGAGCGCATCTTCGTGAACACGACCATGTTTCTCGAGTTCACCAGTCTCCACGTCATCCCCGACCGACCCAGGAAATTCTTGGACCACCCTTTTCTGGGATTCTTCGGCATGACACCGCCCGGAAAAGCCTCAGGTCGGCCTGTGCATCTTCTCTAAAAATAAAAATAAATCAATCTTTTAAATCTCCCACATGTCTCCTGACAGCGTCTTCAAGAATCTTAGATAAAAAATATTGAAGTTTTCAGATTTGAACGGGCCCTGTCTGAAAATGACTCAAATCCAAAAATCACTCAAGTCCTAAATAAAGTTAAAAGCAATAATTAAATCTGGAATTAGAGTCCGTCATCCCAGCCTCGGCCTCAACTCCTCCTTTGATCGCGGAAGCCAGCTTTCACTCTCCCCGTTTCGGTTTCACTCTCCCCGTTTCACTCTCCCCGTTTCCTCAGGGATGACGCTGTGCGTGACGGGGACGGGCGGGGACGAGGCGAGCTTCGCCCTGCTGGCCGACGCGGCCGTCGCTCCCTCTCGGCGGGATCTTCTTCACCTGGCCCGGTTCGTCGAAGCCGAGATCGGCGCGCTCGGGAGCGTAGGGGGATGAGGCGACGCGGGTGACATCTGTGTTTAGTCGTGCGAATCGTCGAGGATGATTCGGAATGAAAAGATTGAATCTTCGCCAACGGAACCAATTAATTCGAGGTGAACAAACTCCCAGCTGAATTAGCTGAAAACAGAATTGATGTCTTATTTCTTTTTTCACATTCTTTTTTAAAATGGTAAATGCAGACGGTCTGCATCGAAATGTAAGAAAAAAAGCAAGAAATATATTTATTAGCGTAAAAAATATTCAGTACTAAATTAGAGAAATCGGTTGTGGACCTAAGCCGCCACGAAATTGAAGTCAACACCGTAAATTTCGTTTGGCCACTTTGCCTTCGGGCCAAGTGGCCAAATCAAGGCACCAGCCCAAACGTTGCACTTGATCAGGATTGATGAATGCCACCTGATGAATGCCACCTGATGAATGCACCTGATGAATGGCACCTGATGAATGCCACCTGATGAATGCCACCTGATGAATGGCACCTGATGAATGGCACCTGATGAATGCCACCTGATGAATGCCACCCGATGAATGCCACCTGATGAATGCCACCTGATGAATTGAATGAACTTGTTGCTCGTTTAATTCATCTGGCGAAATTGCAGTTTTGGATCGGAAACCACAAGATCGCGGAAGCTTAGTGGGTCGAGAAGGTTCACATTTTCTTTCGTTTCAATTCCTTCCTTTCTGTGACTTCACCAATCTGATTAAATTTTTATGTAAAAATTTAATATATTAAACTTTGTATTTTAAATTTAATATCCGTATCGTAGGAAACAAGGAAATCGCAGTGGCAGACTGGCGACCCGTATCCGGTTACCAATACCCACGGATGGTAGCAAAAATATTTCCAACGGGAACTGGGAATATCAATTGTAAGGCATTTTTTTTGTGGGATCGAGCCCAGCGTTGCAGGCAATCCGAGGATCGAATGAATCTCACCTTGTTTTCGTTCATTGAGCCCGATAGCGTCGCCGGGCTAGCGACGAAAGCGAAGTGGCAATCAGGAAGAATTGTGAGAACAGATTTTGGTCCCGTTATTCTGCACCGAATCCGCGGAGACTCGCGAGACTTTTCTCGGGAGTCCGGCGATTTCTTCACGGCCACTGCGATGGTTGTCCATTTCGGAACAGTTTTTTTTTTTATTGCTCTGAAAGCACATGTGTTACGTTCCCGACGAGTCCAGCAGACACCTTTTCCGGTGGTGGGAGTCGCACCGTAGGTTTTTTTTTCTGGTTTATTATTATGATCTCTTGCTCTCTTGCTCTCTCTGGACCGGCGACCCACGTCTTCAGACTTGCAATCATGATCGGGGAAGCAAAGGACAGAGCGTCAGATGGATCAGGCACGAGACAGCGCAAATGATAAACTAAAAGGCAAGGAAACCAGGATGGGTCGAGGGAGCCCGGAAATGCTTAATCCCAAAGAAAGGGAAATGGACGGGAATGCCTCGTCCCGAGGAAAGCACAAGATAGATTCTACCACGCAGGAGATAGTTCTCAGAACTGAATCTAAAATCAGCTTTTGCCTCTATCTTTCTTCACCTTCTGGGATGAAGAGGGGGAGTCGAGATTGGGGGACGAGGGAGGGAGGGGCCGTGAGGGGCCGTGAAGTTCACCCGAGGAGCCTAGAAGGGCGAGGTTCATCTTAGAGTTCGTCTTGTCCAGGGGCATCCCCCGACAGCTGTCTCTGCTGGCTTACGCAATTATGTTCTCGGGTTCCGACGAGGAAATGATGACGAGCTTCGCCTTCACGTTCGAATCGAAGGACTTAATCGAGGTCCGCTTCTCGTCGGGCTTCGCGGGATCAACCGCTCGGCAGGGTCCAGGGTCTCGGTAGTAGACGAACGCGCAGGCCGCAGGGAAAGCGAAGAGCGTCAGGGCCAGGAGTATGTTCTCCTTGCTCTCACGGCTGAGGGAAGGGAGGCAGATGCACATCCCTCCGAGGGTGGAGGAGACGCGCTCAGCGAGATCGCGCGGTGGACTCGTCGGGCCCAGTCCCATCGCGTCGCAACACGGGAGTCCACGTGCCATCGACGCCGCTTCTCCTACCCCTTCACTGCGGGAAGAGAAGGAAAAGAAATGACTTTCTGCGTTGTTGCTAAGATTTTACTGTTGTTTCGGAAGTTACCGAGAACTCATTTTGAACTGAAAATTTAATGTTTCCAGGCAGAAATCCTCAATGATTCAAGGTGAAACGGAGGTGAATGCACTGATGATAGAGAAATGCATTATTGAAATGGGAGAACTACGAAAACACAATTTTCAATAGATCACGAATGCCCTTATCTCCTGTGGCTTGGGAACCCAATTGTGATGAGGCCATTTCTCTTTCATATCACATTCTGGGCTAGAAAATGTAAGCCATGCCCAATTGTAAGCCATGTCATACGAAAGCGAAGGAAGAAAGCATTTCCGTATTGGAAATTTTTTGTGGGTGGGATAAGAAAAGTCGGAAGATCCAGCTGCCATTGCATTTAAAGATGATCATTTTTCAATAAATTTTCGAAGAAATTGTTTTAAAACTAACTAAAATAAAATGAAGTAAAATAAATGAATTAAAGTAATAGAGTACTAACGGGAAGGTGGGAGTGGAAGGGGGGGAGGCCTCCTTTGATTCATTGAGACATTCCTTGCAAGGCTCATCAGAAATGGCAAGAGTAGGATTACTTCCCTGATGAGCCTCCTTCTCACCGTGAGAACGCTCCCTCACCGTCTTTACGGTCTTCTTGGAAATCCCGGGAGATTCGCAATCGAGGTCGCCAATCGAGGAACAATTCTGGAATTGGCACCAAAGCCAATAAAACCCCCGGGAGTCGTGATATCTCAGTAATTGATTACCTGGATCCCGGGAAAGGCTCGAGAGGAAGCGCTGCTATTACCCCTTTCCCCGTCCGCCCACACTCTTGCCCCCGTTTCCTCCTCGTCGTTTCTCTCAGCAGAAATTCTAAGAATTACTCCTCCATTTTGTTGTATTCCCCCTTTTTCCGGCTCCTTTTTCCTGTTTCTCCGTAACAAAAGGACTAAATTCCTCACTTCACCCTTGGATTCAAACACTTTTTGGAGAATTCAACTTGAAGGACGCTCCATGACTTCCGATTGAATGGGTTCGAATGTTAATTACCGACCCTTGCATTTCTCCTCTGTTGTCTGTTGAATCCGGAAAGAAGGGGAAAATCCGTTTCTGCAATTAATTTTACAATTAGGATGCTAGGCTCTTCTCCAATAACAATTAAAAAGATATCAGGCGAGCTAGGGCAACATGACCCTTTCAGGGGAAGCCGGTGCTTCACTTCGCTTCACTTCGCTTCGCTTCACTTCGCTTCTCGGTGCAGGCTCTGTCTGGCACTGAATTTTTTTTCAGTGACCTTTATTTACACGGTATGTCCTTTAAAGAACAGGATGAGGTGGGGTGAAGTGAATATACAGACGGTGTACAGAAATTGCTGATCTGTAGAGGTGCTAGAAGAACGAAGAAGGGCAGATCAGGCCAGGCGTCTCTATGGGGTTTAAAACCCTGAATGAGGAATCCCAGCGCCTTTTAAACCCTGGAAGCGTATAGCATCCCCAGCCTCCATCTGGTCTCGTCAGTCTTCCCTCCTTCCTTAACCTTCTCCCCTTTTTATGAGACCTGTGGACCTCCGTTCCCAACTGAATCGCGAGTCTTATGCAATAGTTGGCGATTCCAGCCGTTTTGCAGTCTTCCCGACGATCCTATAAATGCTTCCAAATGCGTAATGGGTGATTCTCTCGAACACACCGGTAGTGCACGAGATTGCATGAAGAACTGGAGCGGGCTCTCGTGACCGAGATGGGAAAAAATATATATTTCTACTCGATTGCCCTTTCTCTCTTCGCTTTCATGCGAATGCACAGCAATGAAGCAAGTTTTCCGGGTCTCGATCCCCCTCGGCGGAGTATCGTTCGATCGAAGACTTGCGCGAGACTTCGGTCGAGCGTTTCCAAGCAATAAAAAAAAAATGCGATGGACGCTTTTTCGAGGAGGCATCATTCTCCCAACCGAAAAAAAAAAATTATTTCCTTGTCTGAAACGAGGAGACAGGCGATTCGTCGCATGGGATCGAGTCAGTTCAAGGTCGATCGGATGCCTCTCGCCCCGATTCCAATTTGAATGCGTCGACGTGGAAAGATAATTCGTTTCTGAATGAAGCCCTTCGTTTCAATGGGGGATTCTCAGGAATTCCCTGGGGGATTCCCTTCTTTGCCAGGAATTCCTGCGGGGGGCTGCGTCGCATGGATGGGTGAATGCCATTTCGAAGATTGGCGGTGTGATCCCCCATTGCGATTCCCCGATGAAAGGTTATCGGAAGAAACCAGGAAAATTTTCCGTTGTGGATGAAGAGACCCAAATTAGTGGGGGATGAATTTGTTTTCCCATGAATATTCAAAGAATGTCAATGAATTTTGACTCGCATTAATTAATTAATTAATATTAAGTCTGACGAACATCGGCATCATCTGCCTATGACGGGACTTGCGGGAATCGCCAAAAAAGGGCGAATGGCGGAATTAAGAATGAACGAAAATCGATTGAAAAAATCGATTTATTCCCGATTTATTAATCGATTTATTACTCTATTTATTAATTGGTTATATATTACTTGACTTATTAATCGATTACTCACTCGGGTCTTCCATGCGGAACGCCCGGGGATGTGCCAGGACCCGAGGCAGGATTAAGAGGCGGGATTAAGGCAGGATATGACGCCCCGCAGGAAATGGCGCGCCATTTTTGAGAAGTGGAATGAAAATAAAAAGCCGAATGCCATTTGGACACAATCTGGCGCCGAATCAGGGTCTGGATCGAAGTCGAAGCGGTTTTTCGAAATCGGGAGGATACAGGAGGCATGTGAATGCCCTTCACAGGTTTGGAAGCACTAAAGAGGTGGATGCAGATAGGCATCTCCAGGAGGAGGGGGAAGCGGAGGTCGACCGGTCCGGCTGGAGGATCTGGGAATGAATGAATGAATGAGTGAATGAATGAATGAAAGGAGGGTTATTGGGTACGGTGT